TGATAGATTGAAGATTATTAGGATCGAAGTCAAGGGCCAAATGGCACGAGGGACTGGAAAGTGGCAGCTGATATCTGAACAGAGGCACATGCAGTCTGCTGGGGCCTCTCTACTTGCATTTCATTTTGCTTCAAGCAGGAAAGACCTCAGGTCCTCGTAAGGCCCTGGCTTGCAGACACATCTCTAGAGATTATTGACACCGTGGTTATGAATCTGATAGTTGGCTCAATCCTTATCATGGTCTATTATTCGGAAAGATAATTTTATGAAGATTAGATTTCATCAGCATTTATATGAATTTGGCCTTTTGCCCAAACCTACGTGTCATGGTTTCCTACGTGGCTAATGTCTCTGTGTCGCTTGTTATATCTAAAGACAACTTAAAGGCTTTCGCTCAGGGCCCTCTGTCGCGTTGGCATGCCATCCTTCTGACGATGACTCATGCCACAAAAGCTGCTCCGAGTTAGAAGGGCCAGGAGCTGAGCTTTGCAACAAGAGCGCCAACTGCAGGGCAAGGGGATGTCCATTTCTCCGAGGCCATTTTAAGCTCATTTGTGTAATTGCCACCTTCTCAGTATTACTGCATAACTCCTTTGATCTCAGAGGAGAAGGTGGCGAATTTCAAGATCCGGGAAAACTCCTCGTGTGGCTTTCAAAGGAGCAGCGTATTACGAAACTGAGTGGATGTCAAATAAAACATAAATTTGGATCTTTTGAAATTTGAGCTCAAGTAGGTATTACTTTTAGAGCCAAGCACATTGACAAGTTCAGGGATGAAACTGCTGTTGTTTGACATTCATTTAAATTTGAGTGTTTGGGTCAAGTTGTTGCCCAGTCACATCCATCCTTCTTGAATGTTGCGTTTGTACTCAGCATTATACTCCAAGCTTTACACATTTAATCCTTAGGACAGCATTAGGAAATTGTAACCCCATTTTATAGGTGAGGACACTGACGCTCTAAGCGTTCATCCCTGACTCAAAATTTCATTGTTTTCCCCCACCCTCTGGCCTCCTCTACTCTGGATGAGTCCAGGATGTAAATATGGGTTGCTCAAACAGCCTTCTTCACCGTAGGCATATTTCAGAGCTATCCAAATTGCTTAGCTTGTGTTCATGATTTTTTTTTTTAAGTGGCAAATTGATTGAAACAGTAAATGGAAGGGATTATTTCAGACAGGGTTGTGCCTTTACTGGAACAAATCCACTTATTAGCATGCTATTTGGATTCCCACCCTGAGCTTTAGAACCAACACATAGACTGGAGAGTGAGCTCAGTATTACTAGTAAGTTATTTGGACCAGCCAATGATCTCCATTTTCTCTCCCTTTCTCCTGATCTATTTTCCTTAACCCCAGCCATGGAAACTAGCAATGGGGGCTGTGGAGGCAAATGGGCATTGTAGGTTTTCTCATTTATGGGGTTACTTAGAATATAGGGTCAGGCCCTGGAACTTGAATGGGATCTGACTTGAGTAGAGATATTGTAGTCAGAAGTGGTCAGAAAGTCAACCTGGATTAGGTTGCCTGGTTATTTTCCTCTTGCATGAGCTACAAATGTTATTGGTGATTGGAAGAAATGGGGGACTAGAGCTTTCTCTGAGCTTTCTTTTCATGAAATAAGACTGAATGCATTAAAGGGTCCCCCAACAATAAAACATCCCCCCACAGTTGGGATTGAAAATCAAAAGCATCTGAAATGTTGCCCTGGTAGAGGAGGGGTAACACAGTTTTGGAGAAGCACATGATTTGATTGGGTTAACAGCCAATGCTGTGTCTTGGTATGTGGAGTCTCATTGAGAAACCTTTATGACAAACCAGAAGCAGAGTATATTGGTCAAGAAAATTATTGGTCAGGTGCCTGGATGGCTCAATCGGTTGAGTGTCCAGCTCTTGCTTTCGGCTCAGGTCATGATCTCACAGTTCATGGGATCGAGGCCCGGGTCTGACTCTGTGCTGACAACATGGAGCCTACTTGGGATTCTCTCCCTCCCTCCCTCCCTCTCTTTGCCCCTCCCCCCACCCTCTCAAAATAAATAAATGAACATTAAAAAAAAATAAGAAAATTCTTGGTTTCTTAGTCTGTCCCAAATCTTCCACCTCTATACACACTCTGAAACCCTAACAGTTATTTTATGCTGTAACAAATGATCCCAACTAATTAAAACAACAATTATTTTATTGCTTTATGGTTCTGTAGGTTAGCTGGGCAGTTTGTCTGGTTGGGACCAGCTTGGGTGGTCTCTGGGGCCTTCAGGTAGTTCATGTGAGGCTGGATAGGCTGGGAGAGACTCACTGTCCTATCTGATAGTTAGCAAGCTGGCTAGTCTAGAGCTACCTCAGTGGGGACGGCCTATCTGCCCCATGTCATCTTGTCCTCCGAGAGTCTAGCTTGGGATTCTTCACCTGGTGGTCTCGAAATTTCAGAGTCCCAAGAGAGGTTAAAACTCTACATGCAAGCCCTGTGTAAGCTGCTCCCTATACAGGTTTGCTCATGTCCCCTTGGCAAAAGCAAGTCACGGGGTCAAGCCCAGTTTCAAAGAGTGGAGAAGTTGGTATACACTTGTGATGGGAGGAGTGGCCAAGTCAGATTGCAAAGGTGCATGTGACAGGCATGACACAAGTTTGTGGCCCTTTTGCCATTTCCCACAGATATTAGGGTAACTACGGGTGGTTGAGGTAGCATAAACTTCTCTACCAGCCTAAATCTGGAGAAGGAGAAGGAAGACCATGTTTTTGTCTATACCTTCAATTTGATACAAGATAGTTCTCTCCACTCCTATTTATTCTTTCACTTCTAAAATTTGGCCACATTTACCAGTAGACTCTCTTATCTTGCATTCTTGAGTTGTGATTCCAGTTTTGAGCATGTTTGTAAAATGTTGGTGAGTATTTGCTAGGGTGTAAATATGAGGTCTTCATTTTGATGTCTTTTTTTGTGGATGTTTACCTCTCAAGAATGCTTTGTGCTCAACCAGTCTGTCAAACCCTTGGCTAGAGCTTCCTGTCAGGCAATTCGGAGGTATGCTAATGGTAACTCCCAGAATTCCACCTTTGTGATCTGGTATACTGGGTTCCTATTCACTGATCCTTTCTGAAGTGTCTGTAGTGTTTATGGTGTAGTACCAAATTCCACCTCACTTTATTAGTCTATAAATGTGACACCATACATAATGACACCTGTGTTTTAATTTCACCATAACCCAAGGCTCCTGTCATCAATATGTAATGACATATTAATCACTGTTAACTCACAGTGCCTGCAACTAGAATTTCTCAACCTCACCTTATGCCCCGTTGACATCTTGGGGCAGATAATTCTGTGCTGTAGGGGGGCTATTCGGAATACTATGGAATTTTTGGCAGCAGCCTTGCCTCTAACCACGTGATGCTGGTAGCCCCTCTTCTTCGTCCCTACTTGTGACAACCGACAATGTCTGCAGACGTGGCTCAGTGACCTCAGGATGGGTGTGGGCAGTGGGAGATAGGTAAAATCACCTCCAGGTGAGAACCACTGTGCTAACGTGGAGATGCTGAAGCAGAAAACAGAAGGAATCGTGTGAAGTATGGGTATTGTCCGAGAGTACACTAGGAGTGGCAGTCCAGTGGATGATTTGTTAACAGGGAGAAGGAATGTCGGAGATTTTCAGTTACCCTAAAATTTTGACCTCCAATGACCCTAAATTAACTAGGAAACATCCAGTTGGGTCTTGCTACACCTTGAAAGATTCACCAATATCTGAACTTCATTATGTTAGAAGTGGGTTAAATATAAATACCCACCCCGGGGCGCCTGGGTGGCTCCTTCGGTTAAGCATCCAACTTCAGCTCATGTCATGATCTTACGATTCGTGGGGTCGAGCCCCGCGTCGGGCTCTGCGCTGATGCTTGGAGCCTGGAGCTGCTTCGGATTCTGTGTCTCCCTGTCTCTCTGCGCCTCCCCTGCTCACTCTCTCTCTCTCTCAAAAATAAATAAACATTAAAAATAACTAAAAATATAAAAACTATTTCTGAAAAAAAACTCAGGAGATAGGCTGACCATATAGATAAGGGATTTTGGAAAAGTTAAACACACACTCTAAAAAGTATAGAGAAAATTGTATCATGACCCATTTGATACTCATCACCTAAGGTCATCAATGATTGATTGATAGCCAGTCTTGTCGCATCTTTTCGAACTGCTATCCACTGTTGGATTATTTTGAAGTAAAATCTAGATGTCGTTGCATTTCATTTGTAACTATTTTAATTAGTGTCTACAAGAAAGTACCTAAAAACCAAAATTATAATACGCTGGTGGAATTTTAGTCTTCTGGAAAGGGCAAGAATGAGAATTTATACTGAGTAATAATCAGAAACTTAAGGGAAAGAATGGGAAAGAGGCTTGACTTTGGGGGGAATTAAAAACCCCAGAGGGAAGTGAAGTTGGGAGGTACTGTCTCTTCAAGCTCCTCTCCTGCCCTGTCCTCCCCTCTCCTACTCCGAGGTAGTCTTAGAAATTCCTCTTATAGTATGGTGGTGGTAAAGCACAGGAGACTGGGATCCTCAGAAAGGAGAGCAGGCAGGGCACAGATCCATTTTCCAAAAAGAAGCGGGGGGGGGGGGGACACATCACAAGAAGGTACTGAAATATTCAGTCAATGATGGATCACTCTTTGATGACTTTCAATGACTTTTTAGCAGATCAGGGTGTACTTTTAATAAAACAAAAGCAAGAAGAAAGTCTTACCGTTGCTTTTTAAGATTTTAGTAGGGCTGTGGTATTTCTCTCCTGTTCTAATGTATTCTAAGAAGTTTCTTTCTTTTGATTTAGACTTCCTCACTTGATTTTATTATGTCATAAATCTTCTGTGTTTGGTGAGAGCCATGGTATATGTAAGACCTAAGCAGCTTGCTAGATAACATCTATTTCCCCCACCCCCTTCTCTTCAGAAGATTAAACTGAGGCTGTTGTGTCTGATGCCAGAATAGATTTAACCAATCATGTTTCCTTTACATGTAGGTCAGTCCAAGGGACAATTCCGCACTGGATCCTATTATCCATGGGTTGAAGGGCGTCGTACATCATGGTAAGTAAGCCATGTACGCTTATTTTTGCTGGTATGTGAAGAGCTAAGGTCTCCACCTAAAGGAATGGGGTTATCTTGCAGAGGACACAGGGTGACACCGATTCCTCATCCACTGATGTTGAAGGGCGTTAGAGCCATTATTTGATGGGTAAAGAGGATGCCCATTTATTACCTGAAAATGGATCTGGGTTAACAGTAAGCCATTTGTTTCTCTTCAGGTACCACTTTGAATGCATGTGTTATAAATCAAAATGCCCTAAGATGTACCGTTTGTATGCGTTGAACCTGCCACTGTCTCATGTCTCTCTTAAAAATACTCTTCTTTCAAGTGTATTTGCATTAATAAATTTCTTGATTTGCCGCTCAGATTTAGGGAAAAAATTTAAGTAGCTGTGACAAGTCATTAAACTTTGCTGCATGTGAGCAAGCATCATGAGCCACTAGCATGGAAAAAGCTAGGCCGTGTTCTGTGTAGCAGACGTCTTATCCTCAGGCATAAAACTGGGAGAGAAAGTAAGATAAATGGGTTCTGTCTTTCCCAACTGGTTTTTATTGGAAGAATTTCCCCGCAACTTTATTATCGGCAATGCATCATTAGCTATGACATCAGGATCCTCTAATTTCAAAAGTACCCTTGTCACAGGGAGGTATGGAGTCTAGAGGTAGTGTCATGATTTGCAAAGTTTTAATAATCTAATTAGAATTCCAAAGACATTGACAGAAATAGCATTAGTAACCATAATAAATCTACCCTTCATCTCCACAGCTGTGATAAAACATTGTCACACCTTTCTGGGAGGATTGTCTTTCAACATTAGCCAACTCTGCAGACCTTAACAGACATCTTCCCCCATTTCTCTCAGGGAAACTAAAACCACTTGTCAGGGTACAGTTGAAGCCAGCAGGATTCTGGATTAATTGTCCTTCTCTTATAACCATTCAATCGTGCAGCAGTGAACAATAATAAACGTATGAAAAGTAGGAAAATAGGGTGGCTGAAAACACCCCCGTAGAGGTTTTCATTGTGAGAAATTTCCACGGCTTCTTCAAAATTTCAGTTTGCCCCAAAGCAAACCCCTCACATGGAGCTGGGAAGTAGGCTATGTGACAGTTTCTCTAGAGAACAGAGCAACTTTGCCAAAACTGTTTCTGCCTGCGCATTTGTTTGTGTTTTGATGTTGGTCACAACGGTGGTGGTTTTGGACAGTAGGGATATTTGCATTGTTCTCTGGACACCTCAAAAGTGCAAAGAAAGCTGGTATTTGGGCAACATGTTGTGCATTCTGAGCTCCTTTCCCATAAGTCCCCTTGGACATTCAGTTGACCAAACCCTTCCAGAAATTCCAGTTCGTGGTGTAGATTGAGTTTTGGGGCCTGAAACGTAGTAAATGATGACTAGATCATTTCCTTCCTTCCCTCTGACTTATTCATGTTTGAAAACAAAAACACCATGAAGAGTTCTAGACTCTTCGAAACAGGTACCTATTCTTCAGTTAGAGAGGAAGCATTCCACCAGCTAAGGCAGATCATGTTCTTATTTCCACAATGATAATTGAAGGAGATTCCATATGTTAAAGATAAGCGGAGGCTTCTGTTAGCTCTCAGATCCCCAAATCTCAGTAAACTCACTGCCTAGTCATCATTTGGTTCATGAGCTCTGTGCTGGCATAATCGTGTTATATCCTTCCTCATTATCCACAATTACCCTCCAAGAGGCTATTACGTGTTTGCTCTTATATGTTTACCTGGCACTGGGAGGGAGACAAAGATGCCTGAGTTGTGGTTTCAACACACTTTCTAATGGAGAAGTCAGAGGAGATCTGCCAGGAATAATTCCCTGCAGGAGGAAGTTTACTTATTTGTACAGCAGAAGTGTGGCATGCCCACTGTGTGCGATGAAAGTTCTTTTTTAATTATCCTATCCCATGGCCCACCCACTCCCCACCACATCATCCTAGGCTCCTTTCTTGGAACCGTTTGAAGGTATAAAAAATAACCTTGTCTTTTATTCACTCGTGTATTACCTACTGAAGTGTCCGCGTCATGAGGGCAAGAACCCCTGCGTGTGTGGTGAGTAATAGACATTCAGTAAATGTCCGCCAACTCAGTGGATCAAGCAGACGTACAAATAAGTGAAAATATCAAAATATGAAACCTGAAGAAGAGGAGAAGAAACTAAGGCTCCTTGAGTTTTGCTCTGACTGGGAAGAGAAAGGAGTCAGAGAACATCTTGGAAATGTGACTGCACCCTCCGTTCTCAGGCTGTCATGGGTTTTCCCTGTGACAAGGGGATTGTGAAAACACACATCTCTTTTGTCATTCTTCCAGAAGAGAATGAACATTTTCAATCGATAGAACAACTTTTGGTGGAACTGGAAGCATTTTCAGTTGAAGGTCCTGTGAGGGATTTGAATGATCTGTTAATTTGATGGGACATAAATAATTGTGCCCTTCACAGAATCTCTGGCTTGGAAATGACAATAGAAATGTGTAAAAAGGAAAAGATCAATATGGATTTCTGTTACAGTTCAGAATTGGTTTTATTTCTTCAGCTCTGGGAGTCATATCTTAGAATATTAATTCCTCATTAAATGAAAGGGTTTTTTTTGGTTTTTTTTTTTTTTAATAGGAAGAATCTTGTATGTTCTTCCATTTGAAATGCCAGTGAGAAATCTGGTCATACTGGCCAGTCCTACTTAGCATTTGGTCATCGGGGTTCTCTGTGAGGCAGACAGCAAGGTGGGGTTTTAAGTGCAGGTGAATTTTTTGGCAGGAGAGGGATAAAGAGGAGCAGGGCTGGATGGGGAGAGCGTTGGGATGACAGTACAGGTCTGACATCTCTGAATGAGGAGGGAATCTAGGAGGACTGGCTGAAGGCAGCTCTCAGGAAGTCTTGGCCAGTGTGGAGTTTCCTCAAAAAATTAAAACTAGAACTATGACCCAGCAATAACACCACTAGGAACTTATAGCAATAACCCTATGACCCAGCAATAACACTACTAGGAATTTATCCAAAGGATACAGGAGTGCTGATTCATAGGAGCACATGTACCCCAAGGTTTATAGCAGCACTTTCAACACAACCATTATGGAAAGAGCCTAAAATGTCCATCAACTGATGAATGGATAAAGAAGATGTGGTTTATATATACAATGGAATACTACTTGGCCATGAGAAAGAATGAAATCTGGCCTTTTGTAGCAACGTGGATGAAACTGGAGGGTATTATGCTAAGTGAAATAAGTCAGAGAAAGATACCATATTTTAAAAATATAATTTAGGGCATGTGGCTGCATGTGGGTTCGTCGTCCGACTTCAGCCAGGTCGCATCTGTTATGATCCGTGAGTTTGAGCCTTCGGGCTTCTGGGCTGATGGCTCAGAGCCTGGAGCATTTTCCGATTCAGGTCTCCTCTCTCCTGCCCCTCCCGCTCATGCTCTGTCTCTCTCTGTCCCAAAAATAAATAAAACGTTGAAAAAAAAATTTAAAAAAAAAAAATATATATATAATTTATTGTCAAATTGGTTTCTGTGCAACACCCAGTGCTTATCTCAACAAGTGCCCTCCTCGATGCCCATCGCCCACTTTCCCCTCTAAGACAGATACCATATGTTTTTTTGCTCACCATGGGCTCTGAGACACTCGAGAAAAAAAGACCATGGGGAGGGAGGGGGAAAAAAGGTTACAAACAGAGAGGGAGGGAGGCAAACCAGAAGAGACTCTTAAATACAGAGAACAAACTGAGGGTTGATGGGAGGTTGGGGACAGGGGAAAATGGGTGATGGGCATGGAGGAGGACACTTGTTGGGATGAGCACTGGGTGTTGTATGGAAGTCACTTTGACAATAAATTATATTTAATTAATTAATTAACTTAAAAAGAAGAAGAACAAGAACAAAAACAAGAAGTGTTGGCCAGGCCATCGGAGCACCTCAGAGCCAAGACTGCCTGGGAGAGACATCCTGCGTTGGGCAGGAGTGGCCCAGCCTGGGTTCCCCTGTCGTGGGCAGTCACCGGCTAGAGTGTGCCAGCAAGGCCAGCCTCCGTGAGCACACCATGGTCAATCCTGAAGGTGCGGCAGCTGGAGGCTGCCAGATAACAAGGCTCCTGCTGGCAGTTTGTCTCTGGAAGGAAGACCTTAGGCCTGCCCTCCCTTGGCTGGCACGGAGGTTCTCATCTTCCTTCCAAAGACGTTCTCCTAGTCCCATTTCCCAAGAATTTTTTTTTATTGGTGCTCTCACTTTTAAAATGCTCAGAGGTTCTTAGAAGCAGTGCTTATTCCTTTTGTGCCTAGTTATTAAGTGCCTGATATTTTTGTTTTTGTTTTTGTTTTTAGTTTATTTATTTATTTTGAGAGAAAGAGAAAGAGAGAGAGTAAGTGAGAACAAACTGGGGAGGGACAGAGAGAGAAGGGGATGGAAAATCCAAAGCGGGCCCTGTGCTGACAACAGAGAGCCCGATGCAGGGCTCGAACTCACAAACCGTGAGATCGTGGCCTGAGCCCACATCAGACACTTAACCAACTGAGCCACCCCATAAGTGCCTAATCTAAGCATACTACTAAGCTAGGCAGAGAGAGCACAGCAGACAGACCTGCCCTCCTTGCATTTATAAAGTCTTGGGGGAGACATACGATTAAGCATTGTCATTGCATTAGAAAGTGGGGAGCAGCAGGTTTAACGTATTTGGGGGTACAGAGGAGACATCTCAGACAGAATGACCACTCAGACCTAAAGAGTACATAGAAGCTGTCCAGGTGGAGAGGGGAATGTTTCAGGGTTTTAAGCAGCATCCCTGTAGACGAAGGTCTCTAGTGGTGAGTGCATGTAGCATGTTGGAGCTCTGAGCTCAGCAACATTGCTTCTTCGTTGATGGGGAGAGAGATCTAGAAACCCCATGGCAACATAAAGTGTTGTTTCTTATGTGTTCATTTTTTAGGTGAATTGTGATTTTTATAAACTTGAGAGCCATGCAGAAATAGAAATAGAGGGGCGCCTGGG